GATGCAAACCTCGAATTCCTCCCAAAAGCCGGCTTTTCCGAAGTTTTGGACGTTCTCTTTGGTCAACACTTTGACTCTGTTCTCGATGGTTGAGGCAGTGATTCGGGTGGCATTGAATGGGTTCTTGAGGTGGACAACAGTTCCCGTGGTCTCGACCATTGGGTTCTTCTTGTAGTGTTCGACCAAATCGCTCAAAGAGTCGAACTTATCTCCACCGCCGACATCGAACTTATTGTCCTGAAATCGGATCATAACGTGAGTGACTTTGTCGTCGGTACGTACGGTGAGCACGTAATCGCCGGGTTTGCTCTGACTCTCGCGCACTAAGAAACTGCCGTTTTTGCCCTTTTCCAGGACCAGTCTCTCGGCGTCTTTGCCGGACAGCGGGCCGTGAAACCAGCGCTCGGATGTCGGATCCGACGAGTTGAGGGGAAACTTGAGTTCAATCACTTCGCCGTTCTTCTCCTTCAGTTGTCCCATGTTTTCCATGTAGTACTGAACCAATTCAGCCAAAGTGGCGAACTTCTCGCCGCCGTAGAGGTCGTAGTAGTCACCCGTGTTCTGGATCTTTATGTGCGTCACCTGACCGTTGCGTCGCACCGATAGCGTGAAGTCTCCCGGATTGGACTTCGAGGGCCGCGCCAGGAAACTCCCCTCAAAGCCCCTCTCCATCAACATCTTCTCCGCGTCCACTCCCGAGATGTTTGGGTGAAACCATCGCCCGTGACTGTCATCACATCATACATAATCACAATTACTAACACATCCTTCACATCACACCTACACTTCACTGTCAGCACTACATCCACGCCAACCCTCACCTACGCTGCCCTCCCTTCCCCTCCCATCCCGCAATTCAATGCATATTCACGCAAATCATGCCTTCAATTGGTATTCAATCAGCGATTGAATGACAACTGCAGACAATGTGACCGTCACTGCAATCATTGATAATCAAAGACATGCTAATCACGCAATTCAGACCTTCTCGTAGACATGATGTGGTGATAATCAGTGGTAATCTCTTGTGGGTGATCGTCTTAAATGGTGATGCGTTGCGACTAAGAGATCATAATTGGCTGAATGAGTGGTGCAAGCGATGAATCGGTGGTCAGTTGTCAACACATCCCATGTGTGGCGTTCAGTGTTGTCTTCACACCATATGATCACTATTTGGACGATATTTATGTCAATCAATACATTCAATACTGTATTGAATGCGAGTTATGCTGAGAGTGTGTATTGTTTGCGTCACTCATATGTTGAGCAACAGTTAGTTTTCCACCATTTTATCAATTATTACATCAAATCCCCACAACTACTGCTCTCCCGATCCCCACCCCTCCCCCTCCCCTCTCACACATTCATCACTACTGTACTACTCTATTACATAACCGTATTGTAAACAAATCATACGAGCCAACCAACATAGGCACACGAATATCATATAGTCAGTATAGAAAGGTACCAAATTCTGAAGGCCAACATTGAATTCATTGGCTTTTTTTAATACGAAGACTTGAATAATGTGTGCCACTCTTCCCCCATACTCTCACATATAGTATTTACACAAATATCGTCATTCAATAGAAATTTACCTAATCTTTCTATCCTCCCCTGAACTTTAAAATTGTACTAGTTTACTAATTAGTAATTACAATTGTAAAATAATTTACGTTTAGTAAACCACGAAAATTGTTGTATCACCTAGGTTATATCACTAACTATTTATATATTTAAGATTATAACATATCTTAAAAATTAATCAACTTTAATCTACTGTATAGTAATAAATGATTACATTGCTTCGAAATTGGAATAGTGCAAGACATGTAGCTAGGTCACTGTATAAATGGTCACTTGTGGTCAACTCATAGCTAACTTTAAAAGTATATATGAGGTCCTAATAAGTGATGTGACCCTAACTTCTTGCGCGTAAACCAATTGATACTAATATATGAATGAGTGGTGAGGAAGTGGGTGTCAATTGTTACGG